GGGGCTGTCCTGCACCTACCTCTTGTAGCCCGGCCTAGTCTCAAACTCACAGAGCCCCGCCTGCCTCTGCCTCCCCAGTGCTGGGACTAAAGGTATACGCCACCAACGCCCGGCGCTAATTGACTTTTGTTTGTAATTATAGTATCAGGCCACATGAGATGGCAGAATTGTTGGCATTTATAAGAATAATAAAAGTGGATTGGCCAACAATGACTTAAGACAGGTTACTTTCCTTATATTCAGCTGAGGTAGATTAGACTCTCTGGTTGGTTGTTGTGAGCTTCCTGCTTTCAGGACAAGCCAGTCTATGTGGGGATTTACTTGCTTCCTTAAAACTTCAGTTTGATTGTGTGGAACTTACATGAGTTATTCTATTTGGTTTGGCCTCATAGTCTGGTATCTAGTTATGAGGATAGTGCAAAACTATTGCCTCCATTAAATTCTGATAGAGCAAAACCTATAATTTAACTTAACAGAGTACCTGGTACATGTTCAGAAAACACCTGTAGGATGAATAGATATTTTGAGGGCTAAGAGAGCAAAGATTAAAGAGGCTCTTTAAGAATTTGAACTAGGGAAGGGATGGCAAAAGGGAGAGATACAGAGTTGTTTTAAGGAGTTGGAATCAAAAAGGATTGAAAGAACAGTAGTGTAATTTCTGTAGTTTTCAAATCTTGGTCCATCTGTATTAAGCAATCATAGCCTAATGTTCTTTTTAAATTATTCATAGAAGATATCCTCAGTCTCTTGGCTTGGTTTGTTCATCACGTTTTTTTTCTTTTATAACAGATGGTTGCTAACACTAGTTGACAGATTAGCACTTTTCATTTCTCTCCCAATTATTCTATTCTTCTGTCACCCAGTTTTGCCTTTCTATGAGATTTATTACCATATGTGTGGTGATTGAAGCCTTTAATCCAGTACTTGGAGGCAGAGGCGGGTAGATTTGTGAGTATGAGGCTGTCTTGGTCTATCTGGAGTTCCAGGACAACTAGGGCCACATACTAAGATCCTGTATCAAAAAAGAAAAAGAAAACACAACATTTTGAACATATACATTAATTGAGTGAAAATTTTAATTGGGAAAAATGTATTTTTTAATAGATTTTAAATAAGGGTCCATCAAAAAGTGTTGCTATTTGGCTTCATTACTGCCACATTTAATAATTCAGTTCAATGAATGTTCATTTTATCCTACATGTGCTTCTTAGAGTAGCTTTTGATGTGAAGTTTCTCCAAAAGCCATGGTTTTTGCAGCTTTTTTGTTTGTTGGGTTTTGTTTTTTGTTTTTTGTTTTTTGTTTTTGTTTTTGAGACAGTTTCTCTGTGTATCACTGGCTATCCTGAAACTCACTCTGTAGACCAGGGTGGCTTCGAACTCAGAAATCCACCTGCCTCTGCCTCCCTAGTGCTAGGATTAAGCTGTGTGCCGCCACCACCTGGCTGTTTTGCAGCATTAAAAAAAATTATTGTTTTTTTTTTAGAATGATTCTAACCCTCTAAAACCACCTTTGTTTACATTACTTTCTTGC